TAATCAAATGTTGTTTGACCTTGATACATCATTATGTCATGTATAAACCCATCATCACTGGCCCGGCAAAAAAGTTTAAATCCCCATTTATCAGGCTTGGTCCTGATATATTGTCTGAGATTTCCTGCTCTTGTTCCCTTATATCCTACCATTACCTCATCAACTGATTGCTTTGGTGTACCTGGAACTTTTAGGCATACTTTTCTTAGACCTTCAAACAGTGGTCTTACTTTATGGAATCTGTCAGCTGTTGCCTCGGTATTATCATTTACATGAATAGTTGTCCTCAGTAACCTAAACCTTTTAGATGTCATAACAGTTGTAACATCAGGATGACAATGGTAAAGGGACCAGTAATCCTCTAAAGACGGCAGGCTGTCCATACTCATGAATATCAGAATTCCGACAAATTGCATGATCTCTTGACTAGTTGTGTTGAAGTTAGTATTAACATCTGTCTGTGTTGCATACAAGTTTGTGTTAAGTACAAGGCTTTCTAACATTTCTGCAGTAAATAACTCACAAAAATATTCAAATGGTCTCTTGACATGTGTTGGTACGCCATGTTTGTAGTCAGGTAATGGAGTATTTGTTATGTCAACTTTGCTCCAGGTGGCGTTAGTGTTGTTGACAATTGCTTCAGCAACCTCGTCATCTTCAATTGCTTGTTTTCGTACATTTCTTCCTTTCACACTAACTTTCCCACTTCTCTTAGACAAATCTTCACGTTCATCTTCACTTGAAGCAGAAGCATCTGGCTGTGGCTCATATTCATCTCCAGAATCCACTTCCTCATTAGTGTCACTGTCATCATGTAACTCTGGCACGATGTAATCCCTTTTTCTCTGAGCCCTTGATCCATAAAACTAGAATGAACAGAAAAAACAAAATGAGCATTCCAAATAAGCAAATTGTTAGCTATCAATGACAAAAATGGTCTAATTGTGATCTGTTAATCCATGATATATGATACCTTCAGTGGCACGTGATAATCTATCATTGTCGGGGCTTGACTCAATATTGATACAAAAAAGCAAACATAACTTTAAGTGGATTCACTTGTTACTTCTCAATGCCTCAGGCAATTCATTTGCATCTCAAAATGAGGTTCAAACATTCAATAATGCACTGGAAACACATTCAGTAACTTACCGCCATTCTGGAGTGGTGTAAATTGGTGAAATATCGAGAGTGAGGTTCGAAAAGCTGCTCCTTCAACAATTCAGACAGTACTGAACACTCCTGGAGCTCCCAGCCAATAGCAGTCGACAACACCCAAGTGACACCACCTTCAAGCTCCGCCCAGAAGGTTTGTGATTGGTTGGATTGAGGCGAGAAGTCTCTGTGTCCATGGCACCATGAAAACCATGCTTTTTCGGCCTCAATATTGTTACAAGCACGGTATTGGGTTTAATGCTATGTGCTAACGCTGCTGGGCATATGGTAAAGCCAGGCTTTATTTATAATGCTGCCAACCCCAGAGCACTGAAGGGACACTTCCTGACGGAGGTACGGGCGTACCTACAAGAGAAGGGCCTCCCAAACAAAATCCTCCTGCTTCTTGATAATGCTCCAGGTCACCCACCATCTCTGGAGGGAATGTGTGACGATGTTGAGGTTGTGTTCATACCACCAAACACAACCTCCCTGATACAACCTCTAGATCAGGGTGTGAAAGCTACATTTAAAGCCTACTACACACAGAGGTCAATGCAAAGGCTCCACACTGTGTTGGATGCAGATCCAGATATGAGCGTCATTCAATACTGGAAGAAATTCACCATTGCTGACTGCCTCTCAATAGTGCATGATAGTGTCAAGGATTTGCACCCTCAGACAGTGAAGGGTTGTTGGGAAAAGGGTTTGTGGCCAGAGTGTGTGTGTGACTTTGTTGGATTTGGTGCTCAGGACGGGTTAAACAAAGCCTGAGGAAGACTGTGGAGTTTTGCAAGGGTAGTTGGTGGTGTAGGGTTTGAGGACATGCAGGAGGGTGAGGTGAAGAGAAACTGTGAAGAACATGCACTGGGCCTAAATGATGAAGAATTGTTGGGGATTGTGCAGGCAGAGAATGAGGATGAAGATGAGGGAGTGTTGGTTGAGGCGATCAACCCAAGCCCTGACCCTTGAAAAGTAGGCAAGCGTGAGAATGACAGCTCAGCTCAAGCAATTTTTTTAATACACAGACCCATCGATGTTGAGGGCTTTGAATTTGATGAATGACATTGATAGGAGCATAATTCCCTACAAAACTCTGTTTGTAGATATGAAGAGGAAACGGTCTCAGTTACCCATCACAATGTTCTTCACAAAGAAGCCTGCCACTACCCTTACCACCTCACCTGACCCTCAACCTGTGGCAGAATCTGACTCCGTTACTGACTCTGACACTAGCGATGTCGGCAGTGACGCTGGCAGCAAAGAGTTAGACTCCACACACTAGACTCATCATGCCATGCAGTTACACTCCATATAATCACCTTCATTCAACTGTCATTAGTAACTGCATGGCTAATTATCATCACCATCATCATCGTCATTGTCATCATCATCACAAGTCATCAGAGTTCATCTGCCTAACCTCACGATTGGTGAGTGTTTTGTTTGTTCATTATTTGTTATTAAACCATAACGTGTATATGCAATACTTTACGATGTTTTCGTATGTTTTATGATTGATAGTGGTTCAACAGGTTAAAGAAGCAGTATTGTTAGGCTAAGTAAATGCTATTATTATATTTCCCCATAACATATTTGCGTACCAAACATTCGCGAATTTTCAACATTTGCGAGGTTCTTGATACCCTAGCCCTCATGAATGTGGAGGGCCACTTGTACTGGCAGAGTATCTGAAGCTAGCGTGTAACTCGGATTCTGGTTCGCAACTTAGAGCAAAAAATCGACTGAGCAACGGCTCGTAACTCAGAAAACTCATAAGTTGGGGCACTCTTAAGTCAAGTTACCACTGTACAGTGGACCCCCGCATAGCGACCTTAATCCGTGCAAGAGGGCTGGCTGTTATGCGAAATTTCGGGACCGAATGTATTTTCCATAAGAAATAATGGAATCAATTAATCCGTGCAAGACACCCAAAAGTATGAAAAAAAAAATTTTACCACATGAAATATACATTTTCCTACACACAAAGAGAAGGATACATGCACAATAGTAGAGTAGTACATGCACAGTATATATTGTGCATGTACTACTCTACTAAATGAAGAATAAATGACACTTACCTTTATTGAAGATGCAGCAATGACTGATGAGACACTGTGTCCTGGGAGTGCCTTTTCCTCCTGAGTACTGTAGGTCCTGTTTGGTATTTTCTTCCAGAACAGGCCTTATCACATGTGTATGCCACTACGATTCTTAAATCTCTCAACCAACCTTTGCTGGTCTAAATTCACCAATATGAGCACTAGTTCCAGGCATTTTCCCTGTTCACCTGGGTGTTAGTCGACTGGTGTGGGTTGCATCCTGGGAGACAAGATTAAGGACCCCAATGGAAATAAGTTAGTCTTCGATGACACTGACTTTTTTGGGTTATCCTGGGTGGCAAATCCTCTGGGGTTAATTGTTTCTTGGTATTCTCAATAAGCCACACCACAACGGTGGTACAGCAGCAGCAGCAGCTGACGGTGGTACAGCAGCAACAGACGATGCTACAGCAGCAACAGACGATGCTACAGCAGCAGCAGACGATGCTACAGCAGCAACTGACGATGTTACAGCAGCAGCAGACGATGCTACAGCAGCAGCAGACGATGCTACAGCAGCAGCAGACGATGCTACAGCAGCAGCAGACGATGCTACAGCAGCAGCAGACGGTACTACAGCAGCAGCAGCAGCTGACGGTGGTACAGCAGCAGCAGCTGACAGTGCAGCAGCAGCTGACAGTGCAGCAGCAGCTGACGGTGGTACAGCAGCAGCAGCAGCAGCAGCTGTACCACCAATAGTAGCGATGGTTGATTGGGGTTTATTATACAACCTGGCCAGCTCGGAGACACGCACTCCACTTTCATACTTATCAATGATCTTTTTCTTCATCTCCATAGTAATTCTCACCCTTATTGCTGTAGGGTTGGCACTAGAAGCTTTCTTGGGGCCCATGGTCACTTATTTTCCAGAAAAAAATCACCAAAAACACTGTAATAATACGAAATGTTCCGATTGTATGCTTGGATGTTACCGCGGAGGCTGGCTGGTAAACAATGCCACCAGCGGAACATGTGAGCGTGGCTCAGGCCGCACATTGGACGCGTCTCGGACGAAGGGCGGTGAGCGGGTTTTTGGGCGGTATGCGAGGCAAAATTTTTGCGATCAAAGCGTCCGGTATGCGGATTGTACGGTATGCGATGCGTCCGGTATGCGGGGGTCCACTGTATTATATTTCCCTACATCATATCTGCGCACCAAACATTCATGAATTTTCAAGATTCACGAGGTTCTTGATCCCCTAACTCTTGTGAATGTGGAGGGCCTCCTGTATTATACTATTATTATTATTACATTATATTATTATAAATGCTTTGCATATCTATGGACTTTCTGCATGCACAACTATGAATCAGCCATCTCTGTACAAACACTGTACTATGTGGGTGTATGTCTATGACTTTGACGGAGGAATGAGTCTTCAATACTACTTGACATGAATGACTGAAATAGGCTTAGAAAAAAAGAGAATCAAGCCTCTGCTAATTCTTACACTGGATGACCTACACCGGTCTGCGGGGGGAGTTGACTGGTATACTCCAGGTATACACGCCTCTAAACCAGGCTTCCCTGGGAGGGTCTTCAGGGTCTTGATGTCTAAGGTTCCCTGGGAGGGTCTTCAGGGTCTTGATGTCTAAGCTTCCCTGGGAGGGTCTTCAGGGTCTTGATGCAGGTAAGAAGCCTTTCCCCTGCATCAAGACCCCCTTCCCCCTCAAGTACAAGTGAGAGACGTTAAAAAACAGAGATCTAGAAAACGAAGAAAGAAATCATTGGCAACTTCTCACCTGGCTGTAATTGGTCGTTTCCCTGGAAATATCTGTCGAGGTGTCATCAAGACGATGCAAGTTAGTCACTACATCTTTCCTGTCCTCATTGTCACCGCACATCTTATAACAGTCACCATTATCCACCCAATCTTCCATCTTTATTGGTTCTGTGGGATAAATTAAAAGTTGCCTATTTTTAATGAGAAAATGGGAAGTATTTAACTGAAAACAGATAATGGTATTACTATAGAAAACAGAGGTAGTTATTACAGTGCCAGACTGAGGAAGTGACCACCTTCAGTTAAGAATGAGCGACTGAACATCTTCAACCAAAACTGAGAGACTGACCAAGTTCACAATATGCAAAACAACCACTATGAAAAAATGTGAACTTCTAAGGACTTTTGTGATTTCTCACATTATTAACCCTTAAACTGTCCAAACGTAGACCTACGTTCACGTGCGTAGCGCTCCGACCTTGATTTTCCCAATTTGAAAGCATATAAAAAAAAAACGTAGATCTACGTTCGGAGCCTGCCGCATGTCAACATATATCTACGTGTGGACAATTTAAGGGTTAAGGACCTGTGAAAATAATAGAACAACAGAAGGCTTATAAGGCTGAGATATCACTTCACATACGGCCTTCTATTCTTCTATTATTTTTACAGGTCCTTCATAGACAAATAACCCGCATATAGGAGTGAGGAGTTTACGACGATGCTTCAGTCATTGCGACTTCGTAAATATACGGTACAAGTGAGACCGAAACATTGTCATAAGCTCCTCTCTCCTATACAGTGGTCCTCTGCTTTTCGTAGTTCCCGGCAATCGTAAATTTCGCCAATCATAGGGGTATTTTCGTATAAACATGGACTCGCTTTTCATAGGTTGACTCGCGAGTCGTAGTTCATCCGGGACGCGTACCCACGGTGTGAGCCGGGGCGGCAGCCAGTCTGGCATTGTTTACCAGTGAGCGAAGGTCCCCTCACGTGCTCCAGCGAAATATTTCATAATATTCCATTTATTTTAGTGCTTGCCAGTACTAAATAAGCTACCATGGCTCCAAAGAAAGCTCCTAGTGCCAAGCCTGTGGTAAAGAAGGTGAGAAATATGATTGAATTTAAGAAAACCATCATTGAACAATATGAAAGTGGTACAAGTGTGGCCAAACTGTCCAGGATGTATAAGAAACCCTAAAACAACCTTATTTTTCCACAGTGGCCAAAAAAAAGGAAATAAAGGACACTGTTGTTGCAAAGGGAGTAACTATGCTGACAAAAATGAGATCACCAGTACTGGAAGAGGTTGAGAAGTTATTATTGGTGTGGATAAATGAGAAACAATTAGCAGGAGATACTCTTATGACTTCGATTATTTGTGAAAAGGCTAGGCAGTTGCATGAAGATTTGGTAAAGAAATTGCTTGCAAATAGTGGTGATGTGGGTGAATTTAAGGCCAGCAAAGGCTGGTTTGAGAGATTTAAGAACCGTACTGGCATACATGGTGGCATGGTGAGGCTGCCAGTTCGGACCACAAGGCGGCTGAAAAATATGTGCATGAATTCCAGGAGTACATAGAGGGTGAAGGACTGAAACCTGAACAAGTGTTCAATTGTGATGAAACAGGCCTCTTTTGGAAGAAAATGCCAAAGAGGACCTTCATTACACAAGAGGAAAAGGCAATGCCAGGACACAAGCCTATGAAAGACAGGCTGACGCTAATGTTCTGTGCTAATGCTAGTGGGGATTTCAAAGTGAAGCCATTACTAGTGTACCATTCTGAAAATCCCAGAGTGTTCAGGAAAAACAATGTTATGAAGAGTAAATTGTGTGTGTTTTGGAAATCTAATAGTAAGGCATGGGTCACGAGGGAAATTTTTGTAGAGTGGTTCAATGAAGTGTTTGGCCCTAGTGTGAAGGAGTATCTCCTGGAAAAGAAATTGGATCTCAAGTGCCTGCTAGTAATGGACAATGCACCTGCTCATCCCCCAAACTTGGATGACCTAATTTTCGAGGAGTTTGGGTTCATCACAGTAAAGTTCTTGCCCCCGAATACCACTCCTCTCCTCCAGCCCATGAACCAGCAGGTCATTGCAAACTTTAAAAACTCTACACAAAAGCAATGTTTCACAGGTGCTTGACTGTGACCACAGACACTCACTTGACCCTAAGGGAATTTTGGAGAGAACACTTCAGCATCCTCCTTGCATAACCCTTATAGGTATGGCTTGGGAGGGAGTGACTACCAGGACTTTGAACTCTGCTTGGAGAAAATTGTGTCCAGATTGTGTCGACAAAAGGGATTTTGAAGGGTTTGGGACTGACCCTAATGAGCCTATGTCTGTTGTAAAATCAATTGTGGCACTGGGGAGTTCCATGGGGTTGGATGTGAGTTTGGAGGATGTGGAAGAATTGGTGGAAGACCACAATGAAGAGCTCACCACTGAGGAGCTGCAAGAGCTTCAGCAGGAAGAGCAACACATCGCAGCTCAGAATCTTGCTGCAGAGGAGGAGGAAGAGAGATGGAAGAAGGTGCCTTCTTCAGAAATTAAAGAGAATTTTACTATGTGGGGTAAGATGGAAAGCTTTATGGAGAAACATCACCCTAACAAGGTTGTTGCAAGCCAGGTTGGCAACATGTACAGTGACAAAGTCTTGGGCCATTTTAAGGAAGTGTTAAAGAGATGCCAGAAACAGAGCTCTCTCCACAGTTATTTTGCTAGACAGGACTCCAGTGACTCTCAATGTGGTCCTAGTGGCATTAAGAAACAGAGAAGAGAAGCAACCCCAGAAAAGCAACTGGTACCTGAGGTGTTGCTGGAAGGGGATTCCCCTTCCAAACTATAAACAATCCACTCTCTCTCCTCCTCCAGTCTCCCATACACTAAGAAGAATCACCAATAAAGGTAAGTGTTATGCTGTTAATGTTTCATTCATCATTTACCATTGTATTGTTTATGTACTACATCTATATTTCATGTAAAAAATTTTTTTTGTTTTAATACTTCTGGGTGTCAGGAACGGATTAATTGTATTTACATTATTTCTTATGGGGAAAATTGATTCGTAAATCGTAAATTTTGTTTATAGTAACGGCTCCAGGAACAGATTAATTACGAAAAACGAGGGACCACTGTATATGGGTAATTTGCGTATTGTTCCGCTCATTGTACCTTTCTGTTCTTTAAGGTCCTTGATAATGTGAGAAATCATGAAAGTGCTTGAAAGTTCACTATTTTTTCACAGCGATTATTTTGCATATTGATATATTATTGAATTTAAGAAGTTAATAAAACTTACTATAATTTATTACTCTACAGTATTTAAAATGTAATAAAACTTACCATCTTTCACCTCAATCAAGTCATCATCAACGTCGGTGTTTGTGTCATCGCGCACGTCAACGTCCTGAAACCATTATGCAGCGAAAATTAGAAAGTTTTGTTCTCGTATTCATTATATGTGCATTGGGCATATATGAAAGTAAAACACTTAGGTACCCTCGACTTACTAGCCGACTTAGATTTTTTCGTTTTATGTGGTGCAAAAGAAATTTACTTTCGAAATGGGGACTTAAGAAAAAAACCCCAAATAAGGCGCAAGCCCCATTTATGTACTTTTAAAATACTTGTTTTTAATTACAGTCAGGTCTTCTCAACATTTGCATTTTAAAACTTTCACGGCTTCACACATTCATAAATTTCCCCAGCTGCCAAATCATATTGAGTTTCCCCCCAATCGCGGCCCTAACCCTCCCTCCAACCCCTGAACGGGGCACCAGCCCGCCGCCCCCCCACTCTTTCATCTTCTCACCACTGCTCCTCAGCTCGTTGTTTTGTGTCCTATTGTGTTTGTGTGGGGTAAAGTATGGCCCCCAAGTGAGCAGAAACCGTGTGATGACCCAACCCCTAAGTGCTCAAGGAAAGCCATAAAACTGGAGCGAACGTAAAATTGCTAGACAAGTGTAGGCAGGTAATTTGACTTTTTTCCCTTTGGGGAAAAATTTTTTTTAGTGAAATGAAAGCACGTGCGCTTTTCAAGAAAAATGAGGGCAAAGAAAAGGCGGACTAGAATCTACTGCTTCCCTCAGCCAAGCAAGTGTCCAAGTAGAAACAAGCGTGCTAAGCTTTTGGGAGGTCTTCAGGGTTTTGATGTCAAAGGTTTCCCCGGGGAGGGCTTGGGGTTTGAGTCAAAGCTTTCCTGGGAGGTCTCGGGGTCTTGATGCTAAGGTTCCCTGGTGGGGTTTCAGGGTCTTGATGTCAAAAACTTCCCTGGGGGGGGGTCTTCGGGGTCTTGTGCAGGAAAAAACCTTTCCCCCTGCATAAGACCCCCTTCCCCCTAAATGCAAGATGAGGACGTTAAAAAACAGAGATCTAGAAAACAAAAAAAAGAAAACTTTGGCAACTTCCACCTGGCGTAATTGGTCGTTTCCCTGGAAATATCTGTCGAGGTGTCATCAAAACAGCAAGTTAGTCCTACTCTTTTCCGTCCTCTTGCACCCCCCCATTTATAACAGTACCATTTTCCCCCAATCTTCCATCTTTTTTTTGTTTCTGTGGGAGAAATTAAAAATTGCCTATTTTTAATGAGAAAATGGGGAAATAATTAAATGAAAAAAGATAATGGTATTACAAAGAAAAAAGAGGTAGTTATTACAGTGCCAACGGGAAGTGACCACTTCAGTTAAGAATGAGCGACTGAAAAAAATTCTTCAACCAAAAAATGAGACACTGACCATGTTCAATCAAGAATAAAAGACTATTCACCCCTATCAGGCTAGGGACTGACCACCCCAAAATGCTTTGTTGATCTGTCTGGTTTTCTTCCCCGAGGAAGGGGAAAAAAAAAACAAAGGAAAAACATTCACCAAAAACTTCAATTTTCTTGTCAAAACTCACTGACGTGACGTTCAGGTCCCTCCAAAATGCATCATCCTCACCCACCTTCGGAGTTGTCCTCCTTTGGAGGCGGCACTTTGGGGGGAAACTCTGAAAAGGATGGACGAAGATGATGTCAGATCTAGAACCGGTAAGGCTTCCTGAATCCCCTTCATACACCGGCTGGGGGTTAATGCTCTCGCTTCCCACGGTGAGGGGGGCCCGGGGGCGTTTCCCCCGCCAGAGTAGAAACATTGGACGGTTTTTTTTTCCACCTGTTGTCTATGTTCCCCCCGAAAATGGGGACCTGGGTGTTTGTTTGACTGGGTGTGTCCATCCTGGGACATGACCTAAGGAGGGGTGGTCACAGCCGGGCCGCAGGGCATTGACCCCCGGAACTCCTCCCCGATAAACTCCGAAAACTACCTCGAGTCGAACACAGACCCCCCAGCATGTGGGGGAGTCAAAATACCATGTAAGGGTTTTTTAGGTAAGTTCTAGGAAAAAACAAGGGGGTTTCCCGTGATGGTCTTAGTCATATGATGACCCACAGCTGGAGCTTTTGGTCATCTGACTGAGGACTTCCACTATACCATGTAAACTAACATACTTCCTTACCATAAAATATGAGGTTCAAATCCCCAACTCTTCTCATAGCCTTCCAAAGATTTATCCTCAATTTACAACAGAAACCCACTAAATATAGCTTATCAAGTTAGATTAACCTGCATGCATTAGGCCCTCCTAATCTACTTAATTCCTCCTCTCTGTATTTCAACTTGAAAGTACATCATATGATGTACTTTCTTCAAGACTGAGGGACTCAACACATCGATTTCTGGCTAAGGGATTGATTACCTCAAACTCCTCCTCTATTTCTATTGTTCTTCTTTGTACTGGACTGATAAAGCCACTATGTGGTGAAACATTTGCACAAGTGTCTGATTCTTGTTTTAATATGCAATAAGATCACAGGAAACAGGCGATATCACAATATGCAAAACAACCACTTTGAAAAAATGTGAACTTCTAAGCACTTTTGTGATTTCTCACATTATTAACCCTTAAACTGTCCAAACGTAGATCTACGTTCACGTGCGTAGCGCTCCGACCTTCATTTTCCCAATTTGAAAGCATATAAAAAAAAAAAACGTAGATCTACGTTCGGAGCCTGCCGCATGTCAACGTATATCTACGTGTGGACAGTTTAAGGGTTAAGGACCTGTGAAAATAATAGAACAACAGAAGGCTTATAAGGCTGAGATATCACTTCACATACGGCCTTCTACTGTTCTATTATTTTTACAGGTCCTTCATAGACAAATAACCCGCATATAGGAGAAGAGGAGCTTACGACGATGCTTCAGTCAATGTGACTTTGTAAATATATGGTACAAGTGGGACCGAAACATTGTCATAAGCTCCTCTCTCCTATTTATGGGTAATTTGCGTTATTGTTCCAGTCATTGTACCTTTCTGTTCTTTAAGGTCCTTGATAATGTGAGGAAATCATGAAAGTGCTTGGAAGTTCACTATTTTTTCACAGCGATTATTTTGCATATTGATTATTATTGAATTTAAGGAAGTTAATAAAACTTACTATAATTTATTACTCTACAGTATTTAAAATGTAATAAAACTTACCATCATTCACCTCAATCAATTCATCATCAACGTCGGTGTTTGTGTCATCGCGCACGTCAACGTCCTGAAACCATTATGCAGCGAAAATTAGAAAGTTTTGTTCTCGTATTCATGTATATGTGCATTGGCATATATGTAAGTAAATGACACTTAGGTACTCCTCGACTTACTATGCTCGACTTACGATATTTCGACTTTACTGTGGTGCAAAAGCAATTACTTTCGAAATGAGACTTAAGATAATAACCCAGCATGAAGGCAGCAAGTCCCATTTATGTACTTTTCAATACTTGTATTTAATTACAGTAATTATTTGTTCATATAGGTAGTAGGTTGGTAGACAGCAACCACCCAGGGAAGTACTACCGTCCTGCCAGATGACTGTGAAACAAAAACCTGTAACTGTTTTGCATGATGGTAGGATTTGCTGGTTTCTTTTTCTGTCTCATAAACACGCTAGATAACAGGGATATCTTGCTACTCCTACTTACACTTTGGTCACACTTCACAGACACGCACATGCATATATATATATACATACATCTAGGTTTTTCTCCTTTTTCTAAATAGCTCTTGTTCTTTTTTATTTCTTCTATTGTCCATGGGGAAGTGGAAAGAATCTTTCCTCCGTAAGCCATGCGTGTCGTATGAGGCGACTAAAATGCCGGGAGCAATGGCTAGTAACCCCTTCTCCTGTATACAATTACTAAAAAAGAGAAGAAGAAAAACTTTATAAAACTGGGTTGCTTAAATGTGCGTGGATGTAGTGCGGATGACAAGAAACAGATGATTGCTGATGTTATGAATGAAAAGAAGTTGGATGTCCTGGCCCTAAGCGAAACAAAGCTGAAGGGGGTAGGAGAGTTTCAGTGGGGGGAAATAAATGGGATTAAATCTGGAGTATCTGAGAGAGTTAGAGCAAAGGAAGGGGTAGCAGTAATGTTAAATGATCAGTTATGGAAGGAGAAAAGAGAATATGAATGTGTAAATTCAAGAATTATGTGGATCAAAGTAAAGGTTGGATGCGAGAAGTGGGTCATAATAAGCGTGTATGCACCTGGAGAAGAGAGGAATGCAGAGGAGAGAGAGAGAATTTTGGGAGATGTTAAGTGAATGTATAGGAGCCTTTGAACCAAGTGAGAGAGTAATTGTGGTAGGGGACTTGAATGCTAAAGTAGGAGAAACTTTTAGAGAGGGTGTGGTAGGGTAAGTTTGGGGTGCCAGGTGTAAATGATAATGGGAGCCCTTGATTGAACTTTGTATAGAAAGGGGTTTAGTTATAGGTAATACATATTTTAAGAAAAAGAGGATAAATAAGTATACACGATATGATGTAGGGCGAAATGACAGTAGTTTGTTGGATTATGTATTGGTAGATATAAAAGACTGTTGAGTAGACTTCAGGATGTACATGTTTATAGAGGGGCCACAGATATATCAGATCACTTTCTAGTTGTAGCTACACTGAGAGTAAAAGGTAGATGGGATACAAGGAGAATAGAAGCATCAGGGAAGAGAGAGGTGAAGGTTTATAAACTAAAAGAGGAGGCAGTTAGGGTAAGATATAAACAGCTATTGGAGGATAGATGGGCTAATGAGAGCATAGGCAATGGGGTCGAAGAGGTATGGGGTAGGTTTAAAAATGTAGTGTTAAGAGTGTTCAGCAGAAGTTTGTGGTTACAGGAAAGTGGGTGCAGGAGGGAAGAGGAGCGATTGGTGGAATGATGATGTAAAGAGAGTAGTAAGGGAGAAAAAGTTAGCATATGAGAAGTTTTTACAAAGTAGAAGTGATGCAAGGAGGGAAGAGTATATGGAGAAAAGAGAGAAGTTAAGAGAGTGGTGAAGCAATGTAAAAAGAGAGCAAATGAGAGGTGGGTGAGATGTTATCAACAAATTTTGTTGAAAATAAGAAAAAGTTTTGGAGTGAGATTAACAAGTTAAGAAAGCCTAGAGAACAAATGGATTTGTCAGTTAAAAATAGGAGAGGAGAGTTATTAAATGGAGAGTTAGAGGTATTGGGAAGATGGAGGGAATATTTTGAGGAATTGTTAAATGTTGATGAAGATAGGGAAGCTGTGATTTCGTGTATAGGGCAAGGAGGAATAACATCTTGTAGGAGTGAGGAAGAGCCAGTTGTGAGTGTGGGGGAAGTTCGTGAGGCAGTAGGTAAAATGAAAGGGGGTAAGGCAGCCGGGATTGATGGGATAAAGATAGAAATGTTAAAAGCAGGTGGGGATATAGTTTTGGAGTGGTTGGTGCAATTATTTAATAAATGTATGGAAGAGGGTAAGGTACCTAGGGATTGGCAGAGAGCATGCATAGTTCCTTTGTATAAAGGCAAAGGGGATAAAAGAGAGTGCAAAAAATTATAGGGGGATAAGTCTGTTGAGTGTACCTGGTAAAGTGTATGGTAGAGTTATAATTGAAAGAATTAAGAGTAAGACGGAGAAATAGGATAGCAGATGAACAAGGAGGCTTTAGGAAAGGTAGGGGGTGTGTGGACCAGGTGTTTACAGTGAAACATATAAGTGAACAGTATTTAGATAAGGCTAAAGAGGTCTTTGTGGCATTTATGGATTTGGAAAAGGCGTATGACAGGGTGGATAGGGGGGCAATGTGGCAGATGTTGCAAGTGTATGGTGTAGGAGGTAGGTTACTGAAAGCAGTGAAGAGTTTTTACGAGGATAGTGAGGCTCAAGTTAGAGTATGTAGGAAAGAGGGAAATTTTTTCCCAGTAAAAGTAGGCCTTAGACAGGGATGTGTGATGTCACCGTGGTTGTTTAATATATTTATAGATGGGGTTGTAAGAGAAGTAAATGCGAGGGTCTTGGCAAGAGGCGTGGAGTTAAAAGATAAAGAATCACACACAAAGTGGGAGTTGTCACAGCTGCTCTTTGCTGATGACACTGTGCTCTTGGGAGATTCTGAAGAGAAGTTGCAGAGATTGGTGGATGAATTTGGAGGGTGTGCAAAAGAAGAAAATTAAAGGTGAATACAGGAAAGAGTAAGGTTATGAGGATAACAAAAAGATTAGGTGATGAAAGATTGAATATCAGATTGGAGGGAGAGAGTATGGAGGAGGTGAACGTATTCAGATATTTGGGAGTGGACGTGTCAGCGATGGTCTATGAAAGATGAGGTGAATCATAGAATTGATGAGGGAAAAAGAGTGAGTGGGGGCACTTAGGAGTCTGTGGAGACAAAGAACTTTGTCCTTGGAGGCAAAGAGGGGAATGTATGAGAGTATAGTTTTACCAACGCTCTTGTATGGGTGTGAAGCGTGGGTGATGAATGTTGCAGCGAGGAGAAGGCTGGAGGCAGTGGAGATGTCATGTCTGAGGGCAATGTGTGGTGTGAATATAATGCAGAGAATTCGTAGTTTGGAAGTTAGGAGGAGGTGCGGGATTACCAAAACTGTTGTCCAGAGGGCTGAGGAAGGGTTGTTGAGGTGGTTCGGACATGTAGAGAGAATGGAGCGAAACAGAATGACTTCAAGAGTGTATCAGTCTGTAGTGGAAGGAAGGCGGGGTAGGGGTCGGCTAGGAAGGGTTGGAGAGAGGGGGTAAAGGAGGTTTTGTGTGCGAGGGGCTTGGACTTCCAGCAGGCATGCGTGAGCGTGTTTGATAGGAGTGAATGGAGACAAATGGTTTTTAATACTTGACGTGCTGTTGGAGTGTGAGCAAAGTAACATTTATGAAGGGATTCAGGGAAACCGGCAGGCCGGACTTGAGTCCTGGAGATGGGAAGTACAGTGCCTGCACTCTGAAGGAGGGGTGTTAATGTTGCAGTTTAAAAACTGTAGTGTAAAGCACCCTTCTGGCAAGACAGTGAGGGAGTGAATGATGGTGAAAGTTTTTCTTTTTCGGGCCACCCTGCCTTGGTGGGAATCGGCCGGTGTGATAATAAAAAAAAAATATTTGTTCATGTATTATTTAGTGACAGTAGTCATTTATTTAGCATATTCATAATCAACTTACGATACATATTTTAAACTTACGATATTTTTGACTTACAATATTCTCGACTTACAATGGGTTTGTCGGAACATAACCCCATCGTGAGTCGAGGACCACCTGTAATATGCACTGACAGTTCTCAAATATAAAATATTTGTCACTACTCACCATAGGCTGTCCAGTTTTCATACTGTTTTGGGATTTTATAGGTCTATCAGTCTTGCATTTGAAGTGAATGTCAAATTTGTCTGATGATTCACAGTGGGCAAACTTCGAAGCTTTCTCTCTCTCTGGTCTGGAGCGTGACACACCTTCAAGTATGTAATATTGGTAAAAAACATATTCTTTGAAACAAATGATAATATTCTTGACTATGTTAAGAGTACACTAAGTTATTAACATGACTCACGAAATCGTAATGACACGATTGCAAACAAACCATACCACTGGCGGGGATAGAACCCGGTCTGGAGTTTTGAGACTCTCCGATCGCGGGTTCTATCCCCGCACGTGGTATGGTTTATATTATTCTTAGCAAAGTCAAGAGTAGTCAACTATCTTAGTATGTTATTTACAGCTAGAGCAGAAGTAGTGAAGAAGTATATCCAAGATTAAAGATCTTATGGAATGGTCTTCATAGTAGGTATTAACCCTTAAACTGTCCAAGCAGATCTACGTTCACATGCATTTTACACGTTTTCAAATGTAAAACAAAAAAAGATCTACGTTTTTTACATACACTACTTTCAAATGTTGAAAAAACGAAGATCTACGTTTGGACAGTTTAAGGGATATGAAATAAGATAAATTTTTTTTGGAGTTTTTAACCCCGGAGGGTTAGCCACCCAGGATAACCCAAGAGCAGTGTGTCATCAAGAACTGTCTGTCTTATTTCCATTGTGGTCCTCAATCTTGCCAAAAGGAGCAGCGGCGACTCATGTATAGGAACTGCGGAGCTGCCGCACTCCCTATTTTCACTCTATATTATCGATATTCAATACGAGTCATTTATTCTTTAATTCACCCTTTATACTTATATATTATATAATCCTTAGGCTTAATGGCAGTAGCCATCCCCTAGTACATGAAAAAATTACAAAAATCCTTTTATGGAACTGTGCGTAAGTATTACACAAGCGTCAAACAATTCTCCGAACCCAGAGAAGGTCCGAACCTCTCCAGGGATGTACCCCTCAAGGAAGGTTCCTTGATGTTGGTGAGGGGCTCTTGATTTACGGAATTGGATCTGTGCTCCAGTTCCCCGAATTAAGCCTGAATGCCTTCCACATCCCCCCCCAGGCGGTGTATAATCCTCTGGGTTTAGCGCTTCCCCCTCGATTATAATAATAATAATAAATCCAGGGATGTACATAATCTGTGTAACGATTACAAGCGTACATGGACGAGGCATCTAGAGGTCTCGCAATGCGTATTTCGGAACGCCGATACGCAGGCAGGACCGACGGTTCAATGAACACCCGCGTTCAAAGCCAAAATTTCCACAACCATTTAATCAACTATAGAAATATTATAAATTATTATAATCATGGGGAAGCGCTAAACCCGTAGGATTATACAGCGCCTGAGGGGGGATGGGAGGTATTCAGGGAACTGGAGCACAGATCCAATTCCCTGGATCAAGAGTCCCTCACCAGCATCAAGGAACCTTGAGGGAGAAATACGGATAAAATTATCCGTATATCTAACAATTTCAACCGGAACGACGGCGGAACACCGAGACCGAACGAGGCCGCTCTCTGGGCGAAACGTTCCAAAATAAACATGGGTCCAAATTATCAATATTTTATATATTATATTAAGGTTGGGGAGCGCTAAACCCGTAGGATTAAGGTTGTCAAGAGACTAAAGAAGTCAATTATTTTCGCTGTAAGACGCTATTAACGTCATTATAATTATCACCTACAAGCCCACGGTAAACCCGTACGGGCTACCCAGCGCCGACAAAAGTGATAAAAAACACCTTCAATATATGAGACAACAATGATCAACACCCGCCAAGACTCGTCAGTTTTCACACTAATATCTCCACTAAAACACCTGAAAAAGTCTCCAAAATACCTGTGGCTTCTCCAGACTTATTTTTGGATGACGTCTCCATCTCCCCCGTCCAAAAAGACGCCAAAAACGGCCAAAAAAACAGGAAAATAACGGCCACTGGGACCCCGTGCGACACCACACTGTTGTTTGTAGGACCACTGACAATGACGCCGTAACGAACCCGACCTTTCAGTGTCCGAACCGACCTTCCAGTGTCCGAACCCGGCCTTCCATTGTCCAAACCCGGCCTTCCAGTATCCGAACCCGGCCTTCCAGCGTCCAAACCCGGCCTTCTAGTGTCCGGACCCGACCTTCCAGTGTCCGAACCCGGCCTTCCAGTGTCCGAACCCGATCTTCCACTCTCCGAACCCGACCTTCCAGTGTCCGAACCCGACCTTCCAGTGTCCGAACCCGGCCTTCCAGTATCTAAACTCGGCCTTCCAGCGTCCAAACCCGGCCTTCTAGTGTCCGAACCCGGGCTTCCAGTGTGAAAACCCGGCCTTCCAGTGTCCAAACCCGGCCTTCCATTGTCCGAACCCGGCCTTCCAGTGTCCAAACCCGGCCTTCTAGTGTCTGAACCCGGCCTTCCAATGTCCAAACCCGACCTTCCAGTGTCTAAACCCGACCTCCCAGTGTCCAAACCCGACCTTCCAGTGTCCAAACCCGGCCTTCCAGTGTCCGAATCCGGCCTTCCAGTGTCCAAACCCGACCTTCCAGTGTCCAAATCCGGCCTTCCAAAGTCCGAACTCGACCTTCCAGTGTCTGAACCCGACGATCCAGTCCAGAAAAGAAACCTCAACCAAAGTCTTCCCTTCCAGTATCTGGGAAAGAAACCTCAACCATAGTCTTCCCTTCCAGTATCTGGGAAAAAAACCTCAACCATAGTCTTCCCTTCCAGTGTCTGGGGAAGAAACCTCAGCCATAGTCTTCCCTTCCAGTGTCTGGGAAAGAAACCTCAACCATAGTCTTCCCTTCCAGTATCTGGGAAAGAAACCTCAACCATAGTCTTCCCTTCCAGTGTCTGGGAAAGAAACCTCAACCATAGTCTTCCCTTCCAGTATCTGGGAAAGAAACCTCAACCATAGTCTTCCCTTCCAGTGTCTGGGAAAGAGACCTCAACCATAGTCTTCCCTTCCAGTGTCTGGGAAAGAAACCTCAACCATAGTCTTCCCTTCCAGTGTCTGGGAAAGAAACCTCAACCATAGTCTTCCCTTCCAGTATCTGGGAAAGAAACCTCAACCATAGTCTTCCCTTCTAGTGTCTGGGAAAGAAACCTCAACCATAGTCTTCCCTTCCAGTGTCTGGGATAGAAACCTCAACCATAGTCTTCCCTTCCAGTGTCTGGGAAAGAAACCTCAACCATAGTCTTCCCTTCCAGTGTCTGGGAAAGAAACCTCAACCAAAGTCTTCCCTTTCAGTGTCCAGGATAGAAACCTCAACCAGTCTTCCCTTTCAGTGTCCAGAACTGAAACCTCAACCAAAGTCTTCCCTTCCAGTGCCTGGGAAAGAAACCTCAACCAAAGTGGAAGAGAAACCATACCACGGGCTTTAACCCGGGGGTCGAGAGTAGTGAAACTCCAGACCGACACGTTATCAATCGTTTGAACTGGCATCACATATGCTGTACTGTCCTCAAGACTGATGGAGTAAATACATCAATTCCAGGCTGAGGGACTAATTACCTAAAGCACCTCCCCTCCTTACACCATTCATCTTTGTACTGGACTGATGAAGCCAGTGTGTCGCAAAACAGTTCCTCAGTAAAGATTCCTATAAGTTGTATAAGTGTATCATTTTTCAGTTTGTCAGTTTTCTATACTATTTATGACAATAATCTTTATTTATACCAGTACAGTAGGACCCCTGTATAGAAGGTCCTTCCATGGATACTAGAACCATGGATAATAGCAAACCCTATATACAGTAGGACCCCAGTATCCAAGGACCTGCCATGGATACCAAAACTGTGGATAAGAACATAAGAAAGAAGGAACACTGCAGCAGGCCTGTTGGCCCATACTAGGCAGGTCCTTTACAATCCTTCCCACTAACAAAATATTTGCCAACCCAATTATCGTGTCAGTTCTCTGAACCATTCATCTACAATTATCAATGCTACCCAAGAAATAAGTTTTTTTATTCTATTTACTCATTAAGCAAGTCGCAAGTCTCACTCAAATTCAATCCCCTCTCACTCATGTATTTATCTAACCTAAATTTGAAACTACCCAACGTTTTAGCTTCAATAACCCAACTAGGTAGACTGTTCCACTCATCAACTACCCTATTTCCAAACTAATACTTTCCTATATCCTTTCGAAATCTAAACTTATCTAATTTGAATCCATTATTGCGGGTTCTTTCTTGAAGGGATATCTTTAAAACCTGAAGGGACATCTTCAAAACCTGAAGGGATATATTCAAAACTTGAAGGGATATCTTCAAAACCAATAATAGCACACCTTATATACAGTAGGACCTCAGTATCCAAGGACCTGCCGTGGATACCAAAACCCTGAATAATAGCAAACCCTATATACAGTAGGACCCTGTATCCAAGGACCTGCCATGGATACCAAAACCACAGATAGCAGCAAACACTATATACAGTAGGACCTTGTATCCAAGGACCTGCCGTGGATACCAAAACCACAGATAGCAGCAAACACTATATACAGTAGGACCTTGTATCCAAGGACCTGCCATGGATACCAAAACCGCAGATAGCAGCAAACACTATATACAGTAGGACCTCAGTATCCAAGGACCTGCCATGGATACCAAAACCACAGATAGCAGCAAACACTATATACAGTAGGACCTTGTATCCAAGGACCTGCCATGGATACCAAAACCGCAGATAGCAGCAAACACTATATACAGTAGGACCTCAGTATCCAAGGACCTGCCATGGATACCAAAACCACAGATAGCAGCAAACACTATATACAGTAGGACCTTGTATCCAAGGACCTGCCATGGATACCAAAACCGCAGATAGCAGCAAACACTATATACAGTAGGACCTCAGTATCCAAGGACCTGCCATGGATACCAAAACCACAGATAGCAGCAAACACTATATACAGTAGGACCTTGTATCCAAGGACCTGCCATGGATACCAAAACCTTGGATAGTAGCAAACCATATACATGTATATAAGTCCTCTGCATACCTATTTTAAAGTTTAATTGATAAATTATGCACAATAAGTGGAGAATTATAACTTTTTCACTGACGTGAAGCAGTTCACGGTTTCTCTTAGGCTTTAAACTGCCAGCTTCTCTACTCTTGTGAATTGGGGTCATTATTATGTAAAATTTTTGGACCAAAATGGTATACAATACCGACGTGTCGGTAGGTAAGACACATAGGCAACAGTTAGGCAACTTTATTCCAAAACGTTTCACCTACACAGTAGGCTTCTTCAGTCGAATACAGAAAATAGGCAGGAACAGTAGAGATGTGAAGACGATGTAATCAGTCCATCACCCTTGAAGTCATAGATTTGAGATTGTCAGTCCCTCAGCCTGGAGAAGTTCAGTTCCATAGCCAGAAACTATTTGAAGATCAAGCGACAGTCCGGAGACTTAAATACTGTCGGAAGGAGAGGTGCAGAGTGGTAGTAGTGAGAATGCAACCACTGAGAGGTCACATCCCTCTCAGATCAAACAATTCTCACTTGAAAAAGTTGTCCAAGGTGTTTTCTGTACCAAGATGCCATTGTGTTGCAGTGTCTGACAGGGTGAATATCAAAATGGTATACAATACTGACAGGTTGGTAGGTAAAACACATAGGCAACAGTTAGGCAACTTTATTCTGAAACGTTTCGCCTACACAGTAGGCTTCTTCAGTCTGAGAGGGACGTGACCTCTCAGTGGCTGCATTCTCACTACTATCACTCTGCACCTCTCCTTCCGACAGTATTTAAGTCTCCACACTGTCGCTTGATCTTCAGATAGTTCCTGACTGTGGAACTGAACTTCTCCAGGCTGAGGGACTGATAACCTCAAATCTACGACTTCAAGGGTGATGGACTGATTACATCGTCTAAATACCTTCCATCATCCCCCTCACAGGCGCTGTATAATCCTGTGTTTAGCACTCCCCTGTGAACTTTCTTTCTTCTTTCAACACACCAGCCGTATCCCACCATGGCAGGGTGGCCCAAAAAGAAAAACGAAAGTTTCTCTTTTTAAATTTAGTAATTTATACAGGAGAAGGGGTTCCTGTTATCATAATAATAATAATATAAATAACAAAAAGGCACAATACCGTGACTGGAACGATACACAAATAACCCGCACATAAAAGAGAGAAGCTTACGACGACGTTTCAGTCCGACTTGGACTTTGTCAATGGTCCAAGTCGGACCGAAACGTCGTCGTAAGCTTCTCTCTTTTATGTGCGGGTTATTTGTGTAATAATAATATAACTTTTCTCTTCAAGTTCTGACCTGTCAGTGAACAGCTCACTGATAGACACTTTAATATTTTCAGATAATTGATGCAAGTTTGAGCATTGACAAGCTTCAAGAAGTGATTAAAGAAGACGTTCTCAAAGTTATAAACAAAACAAAAGATGAAAAAATACCAGAGCTTTGGGTTGAATGATCGAGCATCAGTGGATATGTTATAGAATTTCTTATAGAGGTAATTTACAAGATGGTTAAAATTAACTTGTACTTTGAGGGTACATGGATAACCTGTACGTGGGAGAGAGAACATTATGACGTCAGTGCAACTTTTAAATTGTTCAAGTGGAACTGACACGTCATCAGAGGCTCCTCCTACGTGCGGGTTATTTGTGTATTGTTCCAGTCACGGTGTTGCGACTCTTTCTTCTTCACTATGGGAAAGAAACTGAAGATATTTCAGTTTCTCCAGGATCATTATCAAATCACAACCCAGAAACTGTGAAGACAGGTAAGGTGAAGAGGTTGGACTAAATAATTTTTAATTGGGTAGTGGGTGTGTGGCCGAGTCAACATATGGTGGAAAAAGACAAGTCTAGCCACAGACCTTTTATTGTTATGCCCTCAATTTAACGGACATTGGAAATATGTAACGAATCCGGTGGGTCGGTCGGTTTGCAATAAAAATTGCTAGTTGTTGTTATTACAGTTGAAACTAAGTGCTAAACCCACAAGGGCCAT